CAAAATATTCAAAATAGCTCACAGTATAAAGCTGTGCTGTTCGAAACTATTACAAAGTGCCAAAATACCACATTGCTATCATTAATGTCTCTCTAATCTTTCAATTAGTGCATTGTTTGTAAAGATAAATATATAAATTAAAACGTGTCAGACACCAAGCTATGAGATGTTGAAGTTATGATATGCAAATGCAAATAAAATAATAAGAGCGATCTCAAGTTCTTAAAATCAGCTGATGGGTTTGAAAATGTTAGCTAAGCTAGGTACATCAATCACTCGATCGATGAACCTCAAAATATTTCAATGTGACAACTGCATGTATTGATGTATTGTTCTGTATCGAGTATATGGAGAAGGAAACAACACTAATACTACGCCGAATATGAATTCCATTCAGGTGTTGGGCTCAGATTCGGAAATATCAGCTATTTAGCTATCATGCCGGCTGGATCGTTAGCCGTTTGATTGAACCTCAAGTAGTTCTATGTGACAATGTAGTATTATATATTCAAAGAGTACACTGTACTGTATATAACATACAAAAATACACATTGATAATGATTTGAGTTGAGCTGTCAGGGTTGTTAGCTAATTAGCAGTCCGACTATTTCAATATATGCCAATGTATCATTAAAAATCCGTAGCTATATATTCCTGTGTATGAGGGATTTCAAACACTCTATAAACAATGACAATGAGTTAAATATGAATTCAATTCCGCTATTGTTGGAGTTCAAAACAAAACACAGTTCATGAGCTTAAAATTCCGCTATTGTTGGAGTTCAAAACAAAACACAGTTAATGAGCTTAAAAAAATGCTAGATAGATAGATAGCACGATATGGTAAAGGAGCTTGTAATAGATAGATAGATAGATAGATAGATAGATTGCACGATATGTAAAGGAGCTTGTAAAAAAACGATTGTTTTCCAGTGTGACATTTGGGAAATGCAAATATTTGCTCTGTCACTGGGACTTCAGCTCACTCTCATTTTTCTCAGTGAAAATGATTTACGTAATACAAGCACAATATAAAGACAGCGTGACACAAGTCACTACTTGACAAATTTGTTATTAGAACTGAGGTGCACAAATGCCACTGTGTGCCATTAAGAGAGGTGATGCCACATGAGTGTCTCTTGACCAGTGGTATCTGTGTGCCGGTTGCCCGGCAACGCCACCGTGGAGCTCCACAAGAGCCGAGATACCTGTTTCCCCTCTCACTTGGCAGTCTGCGTTCGAGGCTGAGCAAAGCTGCTGAGCCACACACACCACTAAATAATGTCTTGCTGTTTCATTTAGGACGTTTGCTTTGCCTTGGAAGGATGATTGCCTCAGGTCAGGTGATCGAGAGCGTGCGCATTTGAGCACTGCGGTGATTGTGTGCACACTCCTTAACTCCTACCAAGCGTGCATACAGTACTGTGAGAAAGTCAGAACTTTTTTTTTTAATGACTTTTTCCATTGCAGTCTTAGAGTGAAACAGTAAACAGTGGGGCGTATACAATCAGCGGGCGATTAGTACTAAACAGTTTCTGAGAAACGTCGTATTCGAGAGGTGGTGCATGGGATCAAGGAAAAAAAAAAAAATCATTGCTTACAAAGTTCCTCCACAAAGTCCGAAAAGTTTTTTTGGTGGTATAATGGTGTCTTCAGGAGGGATTATTATTAATTGTATTCTATTGTCTCTTGAATTGAGACAACAAACTGTCACTGCCTTTTGCAGCACTGCTCGATTTTTGATTGGCAGTCAGCGGGAGTGGATAAATAATAAGATGGCAGCACCCATGTCTGCTTGGGCTCATGAAGATTTTGCTGAACTTGGAATAAGCACAGCATCAAAACCAATGGAACCCAAAACAATAGCTCAGCGCAACATTGCAAAACTTATCTACCACGACCAGTTCATTGTCACTGCGTGACCCTAAGAAAGAACAATTTTTCCCCCAGCATAGGCCACCCCAGGATCAGCGCCATCAATTTAACATCTAATGTTAAATTATTTTATTTGTTTGTTGAGAAAAAAAGTCCTAGGCGAATGAAAATATTATTTTCCAAGATTAAAGGACCATTTTTACAACAATACAGACGGTTCCCTAGGAAATAAATCATATGAAGAGAAACATTTAAGCTGTGTTTCCATGAGAAAAGTTATCTATTTATTTATACTGTAGTTCATGAAAATATCAACACAATACTGATTATTGCTCCCATTTTCTTCATGAGCTGAAGTGAACGAGGTGCTTTTTCTACATACGTACCCAAAAGGCCCATTTCTCTCAATGACTGTTGACAAATCCTTCTAAATCGGTGTTATTGAGCACTTCTCGTTTGCAGTATGTGTGGTGTAAGTGTGGTGTTTCAAGATGTCGATTAGACGGCATTATTTTTCCATTGTCATTACATTTACACATACATTCCGACGATGGTGGCTCTGGGCTTGGCTGTGTATAGTTTCAGTCGATGGGATGAATGGAGCAAGTTGAATAGAATTTTGATATTCATTCTAGTGAAAACGGTCAAGTGTTGGAATAAATAGAGTCGTTTAAATTCTCAACAGTGCACATTCTGAGCATCCAAACCTTGGCGTTGTATACAAAGATAAAGACTCCCAAGATTTGGAGTGGCTGCATATGTTATGACAACAAAATGGTGACAATTAGTCGCGAATGAAGCCTTCGCGACGTAACGCTGCGACTCGTGTTCAAACTGTCTATGTTCCTGCGTTTCGCTGCTGCTCTGCATTCATGCCAGGTGCACTTAGTTACTCACAAACACACACACACGCACACGCACACACACACACACACACACACACACACACACACACACACACACACACACACACACACACAAAAAAATATCCCAAACATTTCATTGCAAATGTGTAGATGTACGCAGCCCCATGGCTCAATTTGACAGGTCAGTGCACAACTATTTGACCTACAAGGAGTGTATAATGAAAGCTAGCGCGTTGTATTGATTGATAAATGCATTTTTCCTCTGTGTTAAATCGGCTATCTGTCAGATGACCGCATGTCACAGAGGGCACAAAAATGACCTGCTTCCTTATTGCCTGCTATTTTTTTAATATATATGTATGTATGTGTGTGTGCACGCCCTGAATCCACCTTCAAAGCCTGGATGAGAGTTAATAACTAAGCGAGTCTGCATGCTGGAAGTGAAGGAGATGTAAAATATATACGGTGAGGATATATTTCCATGAGGCATATTGCAATGATGCGGGAGCTTTGTTTGGAGCTTTATTCATAAAAAAAATAAATAAAAAAAAAGGCATCTAATCCGCTCCATCCGTGCCGTTATCACCGCTATCGAAAGAGAGAAGAGCCGCTTCTTTTTGCTTATTTATGCTCATGCCAACGAAACGCAACTCTCTGCCCATTTTAGTTCTCCCCACCCACGCAAAAGAAGCAAAATGGTTGAATGTGTCGTCAGTTTCAGATCCTTGGCGGCAGTTCTGGAAATGATTATCTCCTCTGGAGTGGCCCTCAGATAGCTATCATGTCATTTGTGACAATGCTTGTCTGATGCTCGTTATCCTCGCAAGGCGCCTTTTGGAAGTGACCTTAAAAGATAATGAGGACAGAACACACTGACACACTGTGCGGGTTTTCAATGGCGTCTTTGAATCGCCTATACGTGCACTCACCAGACGCAACATTAGGTACACCCGAGCGGTCTGAGAACATCCGACGGAGCAGTATGGAAAGAGAATGTTGCTACGAGAGTAGCAGTTGTATTTTTCTAAGAAAAAAATGAATGAAGCAGATTATTTGGAGAAAAGGGTGGAATACAAGGAGAAAAGTCGAAATCCTATGAGACTTGTGATTTCTTCACATTTTATGACCAAAAAACCCCCCAAAATCTTATGAGTATAAAGTTATTTTTCTTTTTCTTTTAAGCATAATATTGTGAGCAAAAAGTCAAATTTTTGAAAATACGGTCATTTTTGTGAGGGAAAAAAGTCATAATTTGACAAGAATTCATCATATTTTTTGAGAAAAAAAAGACTCAATTTTACGAGATTAAAGTTTTATTTTTAATGGAAAAAAAATCATAAAATGGGGGAGGAAAAATCACATTCAGAATCTTATTAGATCACGATCCCAAAAAACAAACAAAAAAATGAATTATTCGAAAAAAAGGCTGATTTTTCTTCATTTTCAGAAAAAGTCGAAATGTAATTTTTTTGGTCATTTTTATTATTTTGAGACTCAAAATGTATAATTTAAGTTAAATTGACAATTGTCGATTTTTTTTAAAGAGAAAAGTTATGATATTACATAAAACAAGCCACGCATTTATTTACCAAAAAAAGAGAAAAGTTTCAATCTCACAAGAAAAAGTCAACGTTAATATGAATAAAGATGCCTTTAAAGTCACAACTTAATTAAAACTTTTATAATAAACCTTTTCTCAAACGGTCAACTGGCAAATTAAGATTTAAGGGCACTTGCACAAGCCCCAAATGATTAAGATGGTCTGCCACGTTAACGCGTGCGTTGGATGTTGTTCTCGATTGCTCACCTGCACAAATAAAAGAGCAACCACAACACCCTCACAGCTGCAGTTTACACTTTTGCCTCATAGTTGTGTACCCAAATGTAGATGACATAAAAGATGGCAAGCAAGAGTGACAGCAGCCTGCAGCTTTTTTTTTTTTTAAACCACAGTCCTATAATGACTCTTTCTCGCACTTTCCGCCCTCATTTGCATGCAAGACGCTCAGCCGCGTAACCTGGGAGTCTTCAAAGGCCGTCTCCCGGGTAATGGAGCAGCATGAGATTTTCCATCTGATCATCACTGACTGCCGTCTTGATCATGTCGATTCCAACTGGGACAAGGGTTCTGCATGTTAGCAAACTCCAGCAGGAATTTCATGTGGAAAAGAGATTTTCTTCCGAATTCGAGTCGCTCGCTTGCGTCTGACAACTGAAGTGTAAATGTCGTTGCTTCATTCAGTTGCACTTTTTTTTTTCTTTGAATGGAACAGGACATTGTACAGGACAAACAAATACAAGCGATCATTCGCCCTTATGGGGCAAAGAACAGGATTCGGTACCTTAAGTAGGAGTTAAAATGACATGCTGAGTACTCCATTTGAGGCAGAAGAAGCACACTCCGAAGCTTCTCCAGGGCCAATCATGAAAGAAAAACGATTTTTTAAAAAATCCATGAAGAGATACAAGCACCTTGACCTACAAGTGCCCCAAATTAAAAGTTTCTCAGGGTGACTTTTTTTTTTTTGTCCTGAAAGCAAAAATAGGACATTTGCGAAAGTGCATCATATTTCAACAAACCACATCACTTTGTCTTCCAAAAGTCCATTCGCCTCATGCTAATACATAATGGTGACCGCCATAGATGGGCTACGAAACTAACATCGATATTGCGGGAGTCACCTTTGTACAACTGATATTGTAACACAAACGGTGCAACAACACATGCAGACTGTGAACTTAATAATTACAATATATCATATATCACACTGGTCAAAATAAAACAAAAATACATCCACAGAGTAGCTGACAACATTTTCTAGGCTAGTTTCGAGTGTAGATTCCAAATATCTCATTATGTTTTCTTGAAGTGCTCCTGTTTTTATATGGTGGGGGGGGGGGGCATGGTTTATCAATTTGTCCCCGAGGTCGATTTCAAAATAGGCTTGATACAGTTGTTTAAATCTCCAGTTGATTATACATCATTGTTTAGGCAATGTATACTTTCAACACATAATGTATAGCAAAACAATTAGCATCATGCAAGACAAAGTCAAAACAAATTTGAAAACATGTTCACCCACCCGTAGCCACAATTTAAGCCAAGAAGGCTTTGTCCACTAAAATATACCTTCAGCTACCAACTAAACCTCAAAAAGTCAAGGATGCATATGACAGATTGCACACTGAGCCTTGTTGAGGCTGCAACCAGTCGAGGATAAGCTTACCTTTCGCTGGTCCTTGAAAGCTCCTGATAAACATTACATTCATGTATTTCAAAGCCACTGGCTGTGAGGAAAAGTGATTCAAAAAAAAAAAAAAACTACAAATGTCCTTGCATCAAAGTGAGGTGAAACCTCCTCTGAGAGTGATCTTATAGCTGCAGTATGTTCTATGAAACCCTTGTCACCTAAACCAGGGGTCCCCAACCGCCGGTCCGCGGACCGGTCCGCAGGGCATTTGGTACCGGGCCGCACAGAAAGAACTTGCCTTATTTCCGTTTTATTTATTTCTGGAGATCGCAAATGACGGCGGCCTTAAAAGTACGTTCGAAAGTAACAACTGGATCAAAGTTATGGCTGAATACTCTGAGATCGCCACAATAGCACTGTTGCTATTTCCGACATCCTACCTGTGTGAGGTGGGGGGTTTCTGCAGCAACAGCGACTAAAACAAAATTACGAAGTAGACTGGACATAAACCACACACTTGAGGTGTTATTGTCTCCTATTACCCCGAGATGGGACTGTCTGATTGCAGAAAATCAAGCTCGGGGCTGTGGTGAGTCGTCATTTTCATGCACTTTGAATTTGCGTTGTATCGTATTTTGAAGGCATTAAACATTACCAGAGCGATAAGAGTGTTGCGACCAGATTAGACGCTCCTTGTGTTTATTATTATATTTCGAAAACACCACAGTTTTCATGCAGCTCATACCATATTATTTTGTTGTATTAATTCCGCCACACCTTAAATGCCGGTCCCTGAAAATATTGTCTGACTTAAACCGGTCCGTGGGGCAAAAAAGGTTGGGGACCCCTGACCTAAACGTTAGTAGTGTGCAATGTTCCCTCTACGGTGTGTTGTGCGCCTGTGCGCTACCTACTATAGTAGCGTAGCAAAACGCCCCCCCCCCACCCAAAAAAAACGAAATCAAACAAACAAACAAATAAAACAAACCGTTCTTTTAGGGGCAGCATTTCCCAACCTTTCTTGAGATCAAGGCACACATTTTACAGACAGAAATGTTACAGCACACTACCAAATAAAGCGTTTTGTTTTTTATCTGAAAAACAAATGTGTTAGCTGCAGAAATCCTTCAAAAAGAAAGACATTTTCCATTCGGGACACATATTTGTGATTTGACAACATTGTGAGATGATCTGGGAATTAGTGGATCGTTTTTTTTTTAATGATGTTGTACTTACTATTTTATCCAAGGTGCTCTATAAATTTCCATACATGCAAAAAGTGCAGAGATTTCCTAAATATGAATGACGGGCATTGTTTTGAAACCAAACACATTTCAGCGTGTGTCCATGTGTAATGAAATGTTAATCCTGATTGGACAAGTCCAACAAAGGTGGCCAAAAAGAAGAATTATTTTCCAGCCGTCCGAATGAGGACGTTAAATTCCCAATTTCCTTCAAAGAAAAAAATCGACCTCCCTCCCTTTATGGTATTTACATGCGTCATTACGAAGATCAGCAGTCGCCAGATGCTTGAATTTGTCGGTGCGGTCTTGTGGAGTGGCCTCCCATTACAGCCCACTTGATTTTTATCTTTTGGGGCCTTTGAAGGTGATAGTGTATCACGAAAAGATACAATACATAAATCATCTCAAGGAACTTATCACCAAAGCTATTACTAGCATGACTCCAGCTGTGCTGAGGAGGACACACATTGAAATGTGTTTTCAAAACAATGGTAGGCATGGAGAGGATTTTATATCATCTAAAGTGGTTTTCCTGTATGGAAATATATTCATGTCTCATAGCTATTTTTTTAAAAATATATTTACTTTTGTCTTGCAGTCTTAGGAGGAAAGATTCACAGGAAATTGTCTCGGCATGTTGCTGTATCTACTTTGTATGTAACGTATTAAAGCATGTCATGAAATATTTATATTGATTCTAATGAAACACTCTGGGAAGAACGAGCTGTATGTGTATGTGAATGAAGCTTGAAGAGTTTTTACAATCACATATTTATTGGGAAAGCAGCACTAAAAATATACAAATAGACATGAGTGAAAGCTAATCAACGCTGAGCATTTTTTTTTTTTTTTTACAAGTATGTACAGTTTACATGTGGTTAAAACTCAAAACATAGTCGCCACTTCTGATTCCGTCGCGACCGTTACAATATTTGGGCTTGGCTTGTGGTCCTTGGGCTCATTCTGCACCTGGGACAGGTAAGGCGGAAGGGTTCCTGTTCTACCGGTATAGGTCTGCATGCCGTCATTGCGTGTTTTCTTGGGATTGGTAGCGTAGCCCGGCTCCTTCCATGTGTGGGCGAAGCCATGCAGATCATTGAAGAGAGTCGCCGGGGAGAAGCCGATAGTGTACGCCAAGTCTCTGGGGTTCTTGAAGCACTGCGGCGGTATCGCACAGTAGGTGCCTTGGCAATCCCCCGCTAGGCTGTTAGCAGTGCTAGATGAACCTGGAGACGAATGAGATAAATTGCGATGAGAGTGGCTCTCGCATACGCGTGTTACACAATAGCTTAACGATTCGTTGGGGACAGCTACGCAATCAAATGAGATACAATCATTCTTTTTTTAAGATAACAATGATTACTTTTTAGGACTATTAATTGAACAGTGTTTCTTAGTGTCTGTACTTAGCCTGTGTTAATTATACCACTATAAAATTGCAAAGATGAACTCATCGTACAAATGCACCTCATAGGATGATAATTATTTGAATCTTTGTCTTGGTATTAAATTACAATTTGTTCATGTTGTGTCAATTTCGAGTTAACAGAACCATAATTCATATTTGGTTCCCAACTCTCTGTGTGGGGACAGAATTTTTTTTTTTTTTATATACTGTACAGTAGCTTTTGAATGGAATGTTATTACACTGTGCAGGTTTATTTTGAGGGAGGCGTAAGGGTGGTCAAAACTTACTTTTAAGTCTTGGGTGAAAGGTGGTAAAGCTCCTCTTGCCACCGTCTCCACTGATGTCCGAGTCGGAGTCATTGAAATCGCTGTCCCCTTTGCCGCTGTCCTTCACGCTCAGCTGGTCGGTGTTGCTCGTGCTGCAAATCAGCACAGAGACACCGTAAGCCACCAGTGCAACACATTGGCTTGATTATTGATGCCTTCCTAATATAACCTCTGATAACCTAATTTCACATGAGACAAGCCACTACTCACACCCCCCACCCCCACCCCATCCCCATGCGCGCGCACACACAAAGATAAAGAATGGCACACAAATAACTACTTTGTGCATGGACTTAAGAAAATGTCATCACGTTAAACTACAGCATGTTGCCACTTGCGTACAATTCAGATGACGTAAAGCGAGAGGTTTAGGGGGTAATACATCTTGGCCAAAACAATCCTTCCAGTGGGATAATATGTTTGAGGGATGCATGAACCTTGCTGACTGAGTAGAACCAAGAATTAAATCTTTTTTTTTTTTGTAACGGAGGGAACTAGTGATTTCGTGCCCTGTTACGCTTACCTCACTTGCAAGCAATACTTGTCCGCTTGCCATTTGGATGGTGGTTGGAAGTGCTTTGAAGGCAGGAAGACCTAAAAAGAACAAATTTAGTTTAATTTCATTTTCAGATACAAAAGTAAAAGTACAAATTGTGTTAAAAAAAAGTGTGAAAAAGTCACCTTTGATTCTGAGTCATTGCTCCTCTCCTCATACAAGCAGGAGTCATCCAAGCTTGATGAGGTCCGCTCCAGGAAGAAGCCTCTCTGGCCGGAGTATATGTTCCCATGGGTGGACCCGAGAGGGGGCCTACTGTCAAACAAGTTGAGGCGGGCTTCCCTTTTAGGGGGACCTGCACCGCCACGTCCTGCTTTGCACGTGACCACCACGGCCACGATGGCCACCAGTAGCAAAGCGCACCCGCCGCTGAGCAGGATGATGACCACCAGCGAGCCATCCAAGCCCGCCACGAGGCCTTCCTCGTCGCTTGAACGCAAAACCACTACGGCCTGGTCCAAGACGGGCTCTGTGTCGGTAACCACGAAGCGCACGGTGGCGCTACTGGAGAGAGGCGAGCGGCCGCGGTCGCTAACGGCCACGACCACTTCCAGGATATCCCCGATTTGGGCCGTCAGCCATTGCTTGAGGGCGATCTCCCCGGTGTCTTTGTGCACAATGAAAAGATCTCGGTCACCTTGCAACATGTGGTAGGACAGCTCTGCATTCACGCCGTCATCGGTGTCTTCAGCGGAGAGGCGCAGAGCTAAATATGAAGCAGGGGCGTTCAAGGGCAGCGGGATATCGGCCGAGTCGTTAAACAGCACGGGGAAGGTGAAATATGGGTAGTTGTCATTCTGGTCCACCATGCGGATTTTAATTGTTGACGTGCTTGACAGGGAGGGGGACCCTTTGTCTTCAGCTTGGATGATCAGCTCTATTTCATGGATGCTTTCATAGTCGAAGGACCTGACTGTGTACAGAGAGCCTGAATGGGAATCTACAGACACGTAGGTGGAAACAAGTGACCCACCTTGCACCTCAGAGTCCAGAAGCTTGTAGGAGACTTTTGCGTTCTTGCCCATATCAGGATCGCGGGCCACTACGGTGGTGATGTAAGAGCCCGGAATGTTGTTCTCTATGACTGAGACCTCATATGTTGACTTACTGAACAGGGGTGCATTGTCATTCTCATCGGTCACCCTGATGGTGTACTGCCTCACTGTTTTGAAAGGGGGGCTACCCAAGTCTTCAGCAACAACAGTCAGGTTATACTCAGGGATCCTCTCTCGGTCCAGAGCGGAGGTGGTGACGATCATGAAGGTCTCCCCGTAGGCTTGTTGTAAAGTGAACTGTTCGTGGCCGAGCAGGCTGACTCGCACGTAGCCGTTAGAGCCAGAGTCCAGGTCTGAAGTGCTGATGAGGGCCACGAAACTCTCGGCCGCTGCAGCCTCCGTGATGTAGGCCACGTCGTCCGCACTGGCGGTCATGGGCTTGATGTTGATCTCCGGTGCGTTGTCATTCACGTCTACCACGTCAATGGAGACCTTGCAACCGGACGACGAAGGATCGGCGCCCAGGTCGGAGGCCTTGACACGCAGCTCGTAGGATCGCCGCCTCTCGAAGTCTACGCGGGCCTTTAGCGTCACGTCACCGGTGTGCGGGTCGATGTGGAAGACGCGGGCGGCTTCTGCCGAGATGTCATCAAAGGCGTACATCACCTCGCCGTTGACGCCCTCGTCGGGGTCGAAGGCGTGCACCCGCACTACACGGTGGCCCACCGGAGCGTCTTCGTTGAGCTCCACCTTCAGCGAGCCGTGCTCAAAAGTGGGCCCGTTGTCGTTGAAGTCCAGCACCTTGATGCGAACCGTCGTGGAGCCCGACCTGGTGGGTACGCCTCCGTCGGTGGCAGTCACCTCCACCAGGTAGGAGTCCTCCATCTCCCGATCCAGCTCCCTCACCAGCACCAGCTCGGCGGACTTGACACCGTCCTCCCGCTGACCCGAACCGTCGTGGAGCCCGACCTGGTGGGTACGCCTCCGTCGGTGGCAGTCACCTCCACCAGGTAGGAGTCCTCCATCTCCCGATCCAGCTCCCTCACCAGCACCAGCTCGGCGGACTTGACACCGTCCTCCCGCTGACGCACCTCCACGGCAAAGTGGCTGCTGGGGGAAATGTTGTAACTCTGGATGTAGTTGTCGCCCACATCTGGGTCCACGGCGACAGGCAGCGGGAAGCGAGAGTCCAGGGGCAAATTCTCCAAGATTTCCAGGGTGGTCTCGTTCCGGGGAAATGTTGGGGCGTGGTCATTGATGTCCCGCACTTCAATCTCAACGTGGATGAGCTGAAACTTTTCATTGGAGAGAGCCACCACATCAAAGGTGACATAGCACCGCGGGGTACGAGGACACAGCAGCTCGCGGTCGATGAGTTCGGCCACGCTCAAGAGCCCGTCGGCCTCCCGCATGTACACCACGGAGAAGTTGTTTTCCTGCATGAAGCGGAAGGACGTGTCATGGCCTTCGGCGGGGTCGATCTTCAAGTCTCTGGATAAGTTGCCTATTTCTGTCCCAGGTGCGTCCTCCTCATAGGTGAAGTATCTTGTCGTGGTGCATCTGACCTTGTAAATAATTAAAGCCAGCACAAAGCAGCAGCGAGCAAGTGTTGCCATCTCGTCATAAGAGGGGAAAAAAAAAAGAGAGAAGTTCTGCTCATGTAAATCACAAATGACCCGCGCAGACCTCAGCTTGTGAATGACTGGAGGCTTCACACTTGCGAGCAGACTATAAACTGGGCTGTATGCAAATGAGCTGCTCCGTCCACCAATAGCCTGACACCACAGGCCACCAAAAGGGGAGACTTTTGGCTGAGGACAACCTGCTGCTGGCTGTTTGTAGGGCAAATGGTTTACTTTTGGCATGCTATCAATCCCAAAGTAGTCTTAACTAGGATTCTGCTACACAAATCCAAGTTTTACTTGCCTTTTGTAGGGAAAAGGAAATCTGTGTCATCACATGGAAATAAAATTAGACGTGTTTGGTGGTGATTATAAGACGCATACAGTATAAATGACAGATAATTCACAAATATTGTCCAAATATTTGCTTGTGTGCTATATATTTTTTTTTAATCTTTTGTTCTTTGGTTATTAACAGTGTGCATGTTTAACTTACTTGGATGATTCAGATGTTTCTGATGGCATTTGTTTGTTTTCAAATGCACAGCCGTGCAACAGAGATGCAATAGAAGACAATTTCACCAATTCTGCCTTTATTCTTGCTCAGTTTCGGTTTACTGAAGTCTTAATTTCAAAAATATAGACATATGTTGGACTATCGTTGCCAGAGCTTGCTGTACTGCGTAATCCTGAATGTCATTCCGAACAATTCTTGTCCAGCTTCAGGTAAATGAAATATAATGAACCTCTCTGTGTAACTCAATGCAATTCCACATCACTACAACCACAATAATAAACATGTTGCCAAATGAGTAACTTTCATGAATACAAAATTATTGATTACTACTTTCTATTATGTGGGCAGGTGCCCAGTGAGTGAATAGGTTTCAGATACACAGAAATTCTATTATGCTGTTGCACACGGACAGAAAACAAGCTCTCAGTTATTGTTTTGTGTATGTGTACGTGTGTGTGTGTGTGTGGTTCATAGGACTGAAGTCTTAATTTCAAAAATATAGACATATGTTGGACTATCGTTGCCAGAGCTTGCTGTACTGCGTAATCCTGAATGTCATTCCGAACAATTCTTGTCCAGCTTTAGGTAAATGAAATATAATGAACCTCTCTGTGTAACTCAATGCAATTCCACATCACTACAACCACAATAATAAACATGTTGCCAAATGAGTAACTTTCATGAATACAAAATTATTGATTACTACTTTCTATTATGTGAGCAGGTGCCCAGTGAGTGAATAGGTTTCAGATACACAGAAATTCTATTATGCTGTTGCACACGGACAGAAAACACGCTCTCAGTTATTGTTTTGTGCATGTGTACGTGTGTATGTGTGTGGTTCATAGGCTGCTATGCAAATGTGCACTGACCCATCCATTGATGGCTTGGCAGTAGTCCACCAAAAGGGTACAGCGGCTGCCAAAGAAGCTTTCAGGTCAAATCAACAATTATCTGATGTAAAAGTACAACTGCATGACAGCTTTTTGAATGCTGCGAGCCTTTGTTGAGCCAGATATCATATTGGGTGGGTGGTCAAATGGGCCTAGCATATGAGTCATTACAACCACAATCTGCCAAAATACAGTACAACCGTCAAAGTTAACCATAATGTATACCATACGCGGGCACATGCATATTTTGTCTTTGAACACGTAAAAATCTCTCGTCAATTCAAAATGTGCAACGGATAAATATGGTTTTGCAATTATAATTTCATCCATTTATTTGTTGAATCTTCTTCATCATTTTTATTTTACGATAGGAAGTGATTCAGCTTCATGTTTACCACTAAACTGACAGTATCTGGCACTCTTCTGCTGAGCTCCATTATTCAAAACTAATAATTCACCACCTCTCCTGCATATAATCAAGCAATGCGGTGTATCCTCACCACTAAAAACCACCAGCAGCAACAGCAGTAATCAATAGACCTCAATAACCCAACACGTAGTCATGAATCAAAAACAAAGTGGCTTTAAAAAGCTGAGTTCGGCGATTAGCTAAAGAGGGAAGTTCAGGTTTCCACAGAGAAATGCAGCTTTTTATCATCTCACAAGAAGAAATCCACTTCTTGACATTCATAAAGAGTTCAGCCTCTCTGCGAGTCATATCATTCTGTGCAAACAGAGTGTGAGAGTAATATAAAGGATGAGCAAGAATGTGCCTTTGTCTTCCTCTTTCAAATAGCAGGGGAGGAATATTAATGCAGCTCTTCAGACCTCAAAAGTGTCATTTGTGCTGTGTTGTTGCAGGGATACACATCATGCTAATTGGCCTGTAATTAATCCACAATTTAATAAATCAACATTTCATTCAAACAATAGTTCTAAAAACAGGTTGGGGGTGGGGGGGTTGGTGGGGGGTGGGGGGTGGAGGGGCGTTTGAGGGGAAGAGAATAAAAAGCGAGCTATTGATGTGGCCTCCCATCACACACACACACCCACACACACACACACACACACACACACACACACACACACACACACACCTCAACGCACAAAAGAGCATGAGTCAAGCTCAAGCAGACTTTTGTCAAGCATATGGGTGATTAGCCCACGCTGATTAAAAGGCATCTTCGGCCCTTCGAAGGACCCTCGACGCCTTCGCAAATGTTTGCGTTAAATCTGTCTGAGCCTCCCCCGATGGGGCAGCAAGGTGTTAAAAAGCACACAATAAAGAGAGGGGGAGACACAGACGGCACAAGAATGGTTGTAATAGTGAGGTGATAGGTGCGATACAAGCTGATTATACACCAAATGTGAAAATCTAATTTGCCTCTTTCAGACAATATGCGAATAGGCCACGCGTCTTGGTTTGTTTTTTAAAAGCTGCACTGATCTGATGAAGATGTATTGACTATAAACTGCTTTTATTTCCTTTCAATGTCTTTTCAACTAAAAAACAGCTGTTCAATGGTGAAATAAGAGGTACTAAATACAACAATCACTGGTGTATGGATGTCGACATGCATCAATAAATTATTTTTACAATGATGACACATGAATTCACTGCAACAAAGACTTTTTTTTTCTTCTCCCCAAAGCACCATATTTTAATCTTAATATGAACATTTAGAGGCATTGCTAGTCCTCACAAAACACCATAACACGAATGTGAATTGCTAACAACTAGAACTGCATTGAAATTTCTTTTTTTATGTCAGGACAAAGAGGAAAACATTGTTCAGTTAAAGTGTGGCACATTTTGTACAAGCACAGCACACAACTCTGAACATTAGCACACACGCTAGCGCTGCGACCATCTTTGGGGGGAAAAAAAGCTTATTTCCGAATTCACTCACCATAGTGAATATTCTTTATTTGCTAAAAGGCTCCCTGTTCCATAGCAAACTCAACCTACATTATAATGCTGTCATCTTTTTAAAAATAAATACATAAATAAATGAACAAATAAATACATAATATTCTATCGTAGTTGCTCGCGCGAATAAACACAACATGAATGATATGTTATGCCGAAAATGATGACTGCGTCAAAATGTTTTCTCTTCATACATTTAAATTAAGATAAGATAAGAAAGATAAGATAAGAAAACCTTTATTAGTCTCGCAATGGAGAAATTAACATTAATAAATGGAATTCTTTGTGTTAAATAGAGTGTGTTAAAATTTGTACCAGAACCAGAGACAACTCTAAGCATGAGCCCACATGCTAAGCTAACATGACACCAACATCATCTTGAAATAAACAATACCTGTAAGTTTGCAAAAAACAACGCATAAAGACGTTGTTAGCATAGATGCTAGCGCTAATACTCATCTTAGGAGGATTTATGTGGGATGCTAACAATTAGAACTGCATTAAAAAAAAATGTTTTCCAACCATTATTGGTCATGGCAAATGCTGTACATCTCACAGCAATCTGACGGCAAACCATCAAACAAAATGTCAGAAAAAGTATTTGTACTGAAATAATAATAATAATTTATGGGGATAGTGGTGTGTAGTAGAAGAGCATTTAATTGTTCTGCTTGCCATAATAGGTCTGTGGCGTCGATACATGAACAAAGATCCAGTATTTGTTTTGTAAATATATGACTATTTTGAGACCATGGAAGTAAAATTGGATGGCTGGTTTCACGTTAGTACTCATACAAGTGCTAACACACCACCTCGACATGAATGAGTTCTGTATACATTATCATAACTGTGTGTTTAAAAAAAAATTTTGATTAAGAAAATCTTTCTAACGACTGGTGTTTGAAGAAGTTTAGCATTACAGATAGCGGCACCAGATGTGTTCAGGCTCGTCCACCAATATTTTAGACCAATAAATTAGGTGATCTTAGGTTATGCCATTCTCCTTATTACCCAGCATCATAAAGCCGTTATTTGAAGGTCAAATTACTACATATTGTTGCTTTATATCAAGCAAACAGGACGACACACAGTATGATGGATGATTATATTGGAAGCACAACATGGTAATGGTATTATTAGCTGTGCCACTCAAGATGGGCGCAATCTTGGCGTTGAGAGTACACATCACAGGAAATGACATGATCGCTAATGTCTACTCATTTTCTTTTATCTCAAGTATTTTTACATTAGCTCCCTCCTCTAAATGAAGTCTGGATGAATGTATGAACCTTGAGCCAAAGGGGGTAAACAGCATTTAAGTTACTTGTGTGCCTCATTACCAGACATGACGATCTTTTTTTTTAGCGCAACAGGCCTATGCTGACTGGGTGTTGAAAATCCAGGATTTGATGGCTATGATGAGTCTGTGGCTAATACAGAATTATTAGCCAAATTAGTTGTTTGCCAGTAAGAGGATTCGCATTTTAATCTGATCAAATGTCTCAAGCGCAAATCAATGTGGTGATGGTGCCAGAGCAACAACAGCAGCTGTAGATTAAAAACAATACATCGTGCAATCAGAAGACTAATTCTTCATTTTGGCTAATCCCGTGTTTCTCAGCAACATTGTAAATTTACACGTTAGCATGTATGTTTATTTTTGGCATTTAGGATTTCATTCAGTAGGAGACTGAGAAAATGAAGTTTCGATCGAGTCCAGGCGTTAGAAAAAGCTCCATTTGACGCTAACATTAGCATGTGGAGTTTATTTTGCGCATTTTAGATTTCATTCAATAGGAGATTGAGAAACTGAAGTTTCCGTAGAGTCCAGAAATAAAATAAAGTTAAATTGTAAGCTAATGTTAGCATGTGGGTTTGTTAAGGCTTTGTTTACTCTTCTGGTGACTAATCAGGCACAAGAAATAGTAGGCTACCCCGGTAGTATCTACTTTTGACAAGTGAGAAATGTGACTTGCAAGTACCGTATAGTGAAAAAGGTTAATTTCTGCAATGCGCTATAACGTGTTAATTTGACTGTTTCATTGAGGCAATGGCATCCC